CAAAGAAGTGGCAGCCACGTCTCAGTAGCTCCAAGGGCGCAGCAGGCAGGGAGCTGGGAATGAGGGGAGGAAGCTATGCTGGAAAAACAGTTTGTTTCCCGTTAGTGGTATATTCAAAGCCAGAAGCCTCTGCTGGCAGGTGGACTGCTGCAGTTCATTGCTTCTGGCCCTCTCTGGAAATGCCCCTGTTTAAACTCTTCACTGAATCTTGAGAACTTTGCAGCTCAGGGTTTGCTGCTTGCAGTTGTTAAAATGGAGTGTTTTCACACTATTTCATCCTTAAAAGCTCCAGTTTTTTAATAATCAAGTCGTGTTTTCTGTAGGCATTTCAGAAATACTGAGGGTCAGAGAGCATCTAACTGACTTGCTTTCTCTCAGGCTGTTCTATTGTATTCTTATCTTGAGTAAAGTTTATTTGTGGACTAAGATTTGAACCTGTAACTGGCCTTATTTTGTGCGTGAATTATGTACACATTAAGTTTGTTACTTATAGTTGCATTAATTATTAAAATTATCATATATGTTCTATTGTGTGCTTTGTTTACTTTTTCTAGTGTTTGTGTGACTATGTATACTGGAGTATTTGTTTAGTCAGCTATCTTTTGAGCTATTTTTTTAACTAATGGGAACCTTTGTGTGCTTTTTCCAAGAAAACTAATGCATGTTTTTGTTGTTTTAACTGGCTTGCAATGTCTGAAAGTTACTTTTAGTTGAGTCACATTATAGCCAAGAAAAACTCATTCTGGCCAAATTGCGTCTGCTTGTCCAGACACTGAGATTTCACGGTTGAAACCTGTGTGACCTACATACACTGCACAGGCAAACTTGGTGAGGTGGCAGGAGACTGTAAAAGCGAAAGGTCTCACAACTCCACTAAGCTTTGCTAAATGTGGTACTGTTCACGGTTGGTGTTCTTGGAGCCCAAGCCAGCGTGCAAACCCCCAATCTCTGTAGCATTTGACCATGCTGGAAGGTTTTACTGCTTTCCTGGCTGGCCGTAAGTGCTTTGCATAGACTCTTTAATGTTCTTTTTGCTGTGAACAACTTTTATGCTGTATTTTGTAAAATATAATGGATGAAAAGATAACACTCTTATGTTTCCCAGACTTCACTAAGAGGTGTCACTCAAGGTAAACCGTACAAAACTGATTGCTGTCTTCTGTGTTGCTCAATAGAGCATATAATTAACTGCAATAACATTTGACACCTCATGAGAGTCTCTGGGTAAACTCATATCTCTCTGGCTGTGAGAGGCATGTTCTAGACTTTGGGGATTTTTGTGCATTAATTATATTTTTTTTGGCTTGCAGTCTTTGAGGCTGCCCTCTTCCTGAGGAGCTCAGACTTGGTTGGTTGGTTTGGCGTTTTTTTAGCACCAGTGAAGCACCAGTGAAGCTGGAGTTAGTTATGACCACCCCATCCTGCCACATTTTGTATAAAAATCCTCTTGGACTGAGAGTTTGTATTAGTAAAGATCTCTGATTACTTACCACTGTTATGTGTTTACTTAGAAATAACTACGGCAGCAAGGATGGTGCATTAAGGCAGTGTCATTTGCATTGGAACGGTCAGCTGTTGGCCCTGGTCTTTGCAGCTCACTTGAGGTTCCTGGCATCTCTGTGATGCAGTGATTTTTGTGTGGGTCTGTTCTAGGAGAATGTGTTTATTGGTCAATCCAAAATCTACAGCTACCTGAATCCTAACAAAACTCCTGGTGCTCGACCCCCGCTTCAAGAGGAAAACTCTGTCATGTATCACGAGGTGAAATGTCAGAGCAGAACACTAAACGAAGCCTACAGGAAAGGAGGTGGTAAGATCGGTCTTTGGATTGCTTGCTTCATTAAATGTGCTCTCCTTCCCCCTAGTTTGAAAACTTTAATACGCAGGTAAGAAGGCTGGGCAGCTTCCCTGGCCCAGCTGCTTTCCCAGTCATACAACTCTTATCTGCAAACTAGGTCCCTACAAAAATGAGGGTGTCCTTATCCTTTTCAAAACTTAGGTCATATGTTTACCAGGCAATTTTCACTCTGTGCTGGAGGCAGAAGCAATTTTTTCCTCTGCAAGCAGGTATTTTAAGTCCCACTCAACACGGGGAGTGTCAGGCTTTCTGGAAATGTAGGGCCTTTAGCTCCTAATTTAGTTCCTCAGTTTTGATAAGGAAGTGAAGATGGCTTTAGCTTGTTATACTGCTGTGGCCTTTGCAGCTGTGCTTCATTTCTCTGGTGAGATTGAACCCCGTGATTTGCTTTAAATAAAAACTTCATTCAGCTTTAAGCCATGCTCACCTACCTCTAAATCAGTTGACTGAGGAGGAGGATGTGGTCGTATCAAAGTAAGATGCATACCGTCAGGAACATGTTGGCTGCGTATGTGGTAGACTTGCAAGCCCGGCCCTTTAGCTCTGATGGATTGTTGGAGTGCTGTTGGCCGCTTGGTACCAGTGTCTGCAGCTACGGATCACAGCAGTGTGCAATCCAGAGGCTTCCTCTCCCTCTTTAGTGCAGGACATTGATTAGCTTATGGCAACTTGATAATTTGGTTCACCAGATGCAAATTGTGCAGCTGTTTCTAACACTGCACTGTGGGTGCTGCCTGTTCAGGTTTGGAAAACTGAGTCACAAACATGGCAAAGTCCTCGTGCTCTGTTTTACCCTTTCCCTTTCTCTGCTCACCCTTTCCTCTGTGCTATGTGTAAAATGACTAGTCAAAAGTTTACTAACCAGCCTATTTGGATTCTGGCAGAAAAGAGATTGTATCATTCCCTTCCTCTTTCTCCTGGTTGACAGAACTAGAAACTTGGACTAGAAACCATTGGAATTCATGTAAAGCACTCTGGTATAGCTGATCCTAAGTTGAGAGCCTTACTTTCTTTTCCTGTCACCAGAAAAGAATGGTGGCAATATAATTGAAGGTGCTATGAAACCAGAAGACCAGAAAGATAAAGAAAGTGGGTGCAATACTTCAGTGCCCTCCTCTGATCAAAATCAAGAAACCATAGAAACTCAGAAGACACCCCTGCCTTCAGACTGTGCTGATGAGGCCAATGCAAAGCCAGCTCAGAAGAAGATGGGTAAAGCAAAACGTGGACCAAGGAGAAAGTAAGTGACTTGTAAAAGCTTTCCTTCTGTGTGTCCTTTTGTACCAGGAGGCTTTGATCTGCATTTGTCAGTCAGGAACTACAGTCAGATCTTAAAAGCAAATGATTATATTGTGGGGAATCAATCTTAAAGGAGATTTGTTTTCTCCAAGAATAACATGTTTGAAGAATACAAAATAGTGCCCAAAGTATTTATCTACTTTGCAGAGGACTTTTTGTTTTTCTAGAAAACAAAGATAGTGTACTTTATCTTGAGTGAAATACTTGCTGATCACCTACAGAAAAAGAAATTAATGAGTCATTAAGACCTACTTCTCTGTCGACAAATAGGAATGTCTTGTCAGAAGCAGAGCAGTTGGAGGCTTCCTGGCTAAGCTGATACTCTTATGACATTGGAGTAATGTGACAAGCAGTTTTCATGACCTAAATTTTAGAGTGCCTTCTGGCAAGGCACACGGGGCTTCAGACTTGTAACATGACCTTCATTTGGTTTTCAATGGCATTGTGTTCTTGTTAAAGAATTAGTACTAGAGTAATGGAAATAGTGTGAAGAAGGAAATGCAGATTTTGGCTTGAAGTGAAGAGTACTGATAAGAAACACTTGGTCACTTTTCAACATACCAAGCTGAAAACAAAAATGTCTTACAGATACTTCTGTCCTAGAAGTGTAACTTCACAAATAATCTACGTTCTCTGTTTTTCTTATCCTTCAGAACACAAGGAAGAACACCAAATCGAAAAGTGACAGATTATTACCCAGTTAGAAGAAGTTCCAGGAAGAGCAAATCTGAACTGGAGGTAGTGCTTCATGTTAAAATAACGCTACTTGTGAAGTGCGTAACTATCTGTAAATGTTTTCCATTGGCCAAATACAAATTGTGCACTGGAAGTATTGTTAAGAACGTGTTTAAAACTTGCGAATGCTGATCTGGTTCTTCTAGGACAGAATCTAGCTGCTTATGTATCTGGAGGGACAGAAATCTGTCTCTTTACCATTTAGTTTTCCTAGAAATATGGGATGGTTTGGAAAAATGAGTGTCACTGGCTACTATTTTCCTTTCAGCTATAAAGTAAGCTACAAAAGCAATCAACAATACTATAGTTTTGTTTATTATTGTTTCTTCTGCAGACTGAGGAGAGGAGGAAAATAGATGAGCTAATTACAAGTGGAAAAGAAGAAGGAATGAAGGTAACCACCACGCCAACCTGAGTAGCCATGTGCTGTTAATGCAGTATCTTGCTGTTCATCAGTTTAAGCAGCAAGTAGCCCAACTTGGTCTCAGAATTGCTGCAGTTTATTGATGAAAGTCAGATGAAAGTGGAGCAAAACTGGAGCATGTTCTCTTTCCTTTCGGATGGGCAATACAAAAATATGTATGTGCAGCCTCAGTCAGAAATATTGAGAGGGTTTTATAGTTTTTACCGGAAACGCACTTGCTCCTTTTAAGTATCTCATTTCTTGGGTTAGGTTCCAGAAATTGGATTAGATGTAGCATCTTAATTGTTGTATGTTTAAAAGGTAACACCCATATATGCTGTCTGTTTGGCAATGAATTCTCTTAGCCTGTTTACAGCTAGTTGCTGTGGGTCTTCATTATGGCTCTTGGGATACTGGGTTGTACTGATTTTCCTCCAACTGTTAGCACTTGGGGGAAGCTGCTGGAGTTGTTGAATTTACAGGGAGAGGCAGGAAGAGTAAAGCATACCGGTGGGTGATAAATGTATTTTTGTGATCAATCTTTCTGTGCCTCTAACATTTTCACCTATGCATGCTAACAGTGGCGATGCACCTGAAATGGAGAAGCTTCCTGCCTCAGCTGAGAGATAGTTTAAAAGAAAACATAGATACTTCTTCTCTGTGTATGGTTTATTGGATGTAATTCTTAGTTCTTTGGTTAGAGGACTTCAACTCAGGGTGTGTTTCAAACTCATCCTGTATTTCTTCCACAATGCTGTGCATTGTGCTTCTACAGCTTTGTGTACTACACTGCTGTAGCATTTTTAAATGAGAAATCACTCATTTCCTAGTAAGCAACGTGTGTGTAATCATGTAACTACTTTCTAATTTCCCAGCTGATTTTGTTTTCAATTCTGCAGATTGATTACATTGACGGCAAAGGGAGAGGAGTAATTGCTACTAAACATTTTAATCGAGGAGAATTTGTAGTTGAATATCATGGGGATCTCATAGAGATCACTGATGCTAAAAAGCGAGAAGCTGTGTATGCTCAAGACCCATCCACAGGCTGCTATATGTACTATTTTCAGTACCTCAGCAAAACGTACTGGTAAGTTTCTCTTCCCTTAAGTGTCATAGCTGAGTGATGGAGGCTTTGAATGCTGCGGAGTCTTTTCTTGTTTTCGTGCCATTTTTTTTTAATGGGAACCATGAATTAGGAAATCATTCTGGAGAACTGTTTTGTGGGCCAAGAGCTTCCTGTACCTCTGGGCTAAAAGGAATGATAGGTGACTCAAAGCCCCATTCTCTGAAGTACACTGCAAGCTATATGGAGAGCTGTACTTGCTTGGATGAGACCTCCAGCTCTGCCATGGACTTCTGCCTAAATATATTCTCTTGTAAATTTAACTACTCTTCCTGGCTTGCAAGGACTTCGTTTGAAAAACACTATGGACAAACTGTCTGGAAGATAAACATTTCCTTCAACTGTTTGGGTCTCCTTCTTTCTCTAGTACCTGACATCCACCCTACGTCCATGCTTTCTGACTGTGTTTGCTGCTTCATTTGCCCCCAAATTCTCAAAGCAACTACTCTACCTTCTTTCCTCCCTGGCTGATACTACTGGATGCTGGAGCATGGGTCACTTAACCTCTCAATGCATTACCTTGACGCTCCCTGTATTGTAAGTGCCTGACTTGCAGTCCAGGTGCAGAGCTGCCGTAACGACTCTTTGGGCAATGAGGGGCACTAGAGGTTTAGTAGCCAGGTCTCTGGAAGTTGAGTACATAGTATTTTGGTGTTCTCAGCCTTCTGTGTGACTAGAGACTCTTGCTGGCTTCCTCAGTGGATACTACTTAGCTTGGACACGACTTTCTTGAGGGGAGGATATTTAAGGAAACAAGCCTTTCTGGTGGTGTTCTATATCTGGGTTCTGCTATTTTTCATGAACAGTTGAGAGCTGCTTGGCAACAGACAGCTCAAAAACAGTCCAGAGTTGTCTGTTTTCTGGATTTTTTGCTAACTTATAAATCTCCCCAAATTGCTTTAGTTTGCCTACAATGCTATATTATCTCTGTTTTATTCATACTAATATTCTGTAATGTTCTGATTCTTTGGTTATAAAGCTGTGTGTGGATTCCTCATTCTTTATCTGATTGGCACTTTGGTTTTTGTCCATCAACGTGACTGCTGTGATGTGCAGCAATCCTGCATTCTGTTCTTGTTCTTTCAGTGTTGATGCTACAAAAGAAACTAATCGTCTGGGAAGACTGATTAATCACAGTAAATGTGGCAATTGTCAAACAAAGCTTCATGACATTGATGGTGTGCCTCATCTCATACTGATAGCTTCCAGAGACATTAAAGCAGGTGAAGAACTGTTGTACGACTATGGAGACAGAAGCAAAGCTTCCATTGAAGCTCATCCATGGCTGAAACACTAATTCATTTTCTTTGTTTGGGGTTGTTTTTGTGGGTTTTTTGACTGAGTGCTCTACAAGGAGTCAGTGGATTTTTATTTTTTTTTCCTTATCCTCACTTCCCTCAGCTTTCTTAGCGGACTGCTTATGGTGTTCTGAGCTCCTTAAAAACTACCTTTTTTGCTTTGCGGTATTTAAATACTTATTACAGTTTTCTAGGCGGGCTTGAATAATTGATCTTAGATTGCCAAAACTTTTCTATCAGAAAAGGAAACCCTCCCTAAAATTTGAATACTTCTGCCTAGTGACCAGTGCCACTTGAGCATGCAGTCTAAGACTTGCACAGAAACTTAATCGCTTGGGTTGTGCTTCTGCTTTTGCAATGAAATCTCATGCTCCGCTTTGTGGGGTGATGAACTTGGCATTAGCTTTATGACAGCAGATGTACGTCGGTACTCTGACTTGTACTTCCAATGGCTCGCATGCTTGTCAGACTGCTCTTTTTTTTTTTTCCTTCTTACATCACAGCGCTGATGGGCTTTTCTGAGATGGATGCTACTGTCGTTCTCAAATAATTTGTGGTAGGGATCCAGTTTTTCCAGTGCTGTCTCTCTTGTTGGCAATGAACTTCATGTGCACTGGCGCTGAGGGAAATGGATGGTGAAACCGGCTGCTTTCTTCAGAGAAATGACTCCAAGCCGAACGAGGATGGATTTTGATAGACTGGGTTGATACTAATTAGAAATGTGAAGATAGAACTTAACAGTGAGAATCAACGTTTGACATTACTTATTTTCTAAAATTTAAGATGGTACCTTTTTATAATTGATGGCTGACTCTTGGAAGTGTCTTGCAGAGGATTTTAAAGAAGTAAAAGGAAAAGCTCTTTCGGAAAAAAAATAATTTTATTACCTTCCTATGCTAATTAGCCACATCAGAAGCTATTTATTTACTGTGAATGCTTGAAGTAGAGCATAGCGGTTCCAAAAATAGGAGTGATCTTCATATGCAGCTTCAAACTGTAATGGAGTTCATGCAATGAAGAAAGTAGATTCCTTATTGCCTGGTCCTGTATGTCTGTCCAGTGTGGTCTTGTCCCACTGTCCTAAACAGGAGCTGAGCGCTTAGCATCTCGCGGATGTTTGTAACGTTACTGTTGGAGAACCAAATCTGTGATATAGGCGGGCAATACAATGCAGGTCCTTTATGTTAAAGATGAATTCTTACCAGTTGGAATTTTTGCCAAGGCAGGCTTGGCGTGTGTGTAGATGAAAATGGCTGTGAGCCATCGGCCACGCTTGCTGCTGGAAGATGTCAGCAAGGGATCCGTGGCTCCATTAATGTCTTCTGTTCCTCATGTCTTGAAGGCTGCTGCTGTTCCAGCTAATGCCCTCTAGGACAATCTTACGTGCTTGCCTATGTGATAGGTCAAATAGCAACAACATCCTGGGTATATGCTCCAGCAGCAAGAGGTGGCTTAGTGATGTATTTTTTAAATTAAAAACTTGAAGACAATATCTCTGTAAAATAAAGAATATATTTATTATTCATGAAGTGGCTGCTATAGTACCTGTCTCTATTGCAGATCATTAGCATTTTGAAAGAAAGCTGTGAAAATCTTTAGCTGTTAAATGTAAATGCTTTATAGTATTTACCACTTAACACAAGTCAGGCTCATCAGAGACAGCCTGTGTATTTTTACCATTTCTGAAGAACTGACTGGAGATCGGTTACCTTACATGTACTGAGTTACAGGTAAGCTTTGTGGGCACTGATTTTTCTCTGGTCTTGGTAGCAGAGACTACAGCAGTGTACAGTGTCTTGGTTTACTAGAGCACTTAACACTTAAGTCAAAATTGGAATAAAATGCTTATTTTTTAAATTTAATTTCATTTTTTATTTAAACATTTGCTTGTTCTCTATGAGGTTAAATAGCTTAAAACCTCTGTTCTTCAGCATCACTTTTGTAAAGAAGAAAGAGGGAAGAGCCCTTCCCTGTTTCATATAAGAAAATTGTCTTCTCTGAAATGCTTAACTGGTGATCAAGTAGCACTGCATCGGAAGATGGTAATAAAGCTGATGTTGCACTGAGTATGTATCCTTTACTTTTCTAGGAGCTGATATGTGTATCTTGTATATCAAAATACTTTCTGCAGAAACATGCAATTTGGATTTTTGTTTTTGTGTGTGCCTTGTAAGAAGTTTCATCTTCTGTCAAGGTGTAAAGCACTTAGCAGGGAAACATGCGCCTGAGTTGGGAGCTGAACTGCCCCGTCAGGCTCGCGTGGCTTTGCCAGAGGCATCGGGGGCCACCCTAACAGTGCTGCAGCCTCTTCTGTTGTAGCCATAGCCAAGAAATTTTCTCCCCTTTTGAGAGAGAAGCTGTGCGCTCACTTGGCACCAGAGCGGATGCAACTGTGATGGTTCCAGGAAAAGAGTAGCCCCAAAAGGTTGAGGTGCTCTCCTGTCTATTTTAACTGGTGAAGTCCAACTTTTTTTTTTAATAAGGAACATATTCAGTGGTAAACTTAAAAGAATAATCACTGCTTTCATTATTGTCTCCTTTGAGTAACTGCAAGGAGCGGCCTGGGGCCATGTTAAAGTCTTCTGTGCCTCTGTGCCAAGTTGTTACTTCTGCATGGCTCTGTTTTAATCTGTGCAGTTTGTTACCGGGGGTTGTTTCATTAAGACTTAATAGAGTGATCAGTGTGTTTGGGGGTGTAATTCCCCCCTTGCCCCCTTTTTAAGAGATTGGAAAATACATCCCTGGATAAACCACAGAAGAGCATGGAGTTCAGAGCACACACGAATCGTCTCTTCTCAGCTCAGAGCTGTATCCTGGCTGTAGCTGATGCATGATCAGGGTTTTTTCTGTAGTGTTTGTTGTTGTTTTTTTTTTTTTTTTTTTTTTTTTTGTTTTTTTTTTTTTTTTTTTTTTTTTCTCTCTCACCACAAACCCTCTGCTGAGTAAATGCAGTAACATCTGTGCCTGATACCATACTTTAGAAAATGTGTTGCGGGGACATGGTCAAGGCTTGTTAGTATTCTGAAGATGGCAAAATGACTTTAGCAGTTCTGTGCCCTGGCTGAACCAGCTTGCTTAGGTCAGACATCTTTGAAGTTGCCTCGCTAACGTACAGTTGCTAACAAATTCTCTCTGAAAGGAGATGGCAGTTCTGCCTTCTGCAAAGCCACGTTCACGTTGTGCATCTGAGCACGTGTGAAGTGTCCTATATTTTTTTCATGCTGCTAGTGTATAACACGGAATCAAAAGATTTCAGAGCCTGCTTTCACTTCTGAAGAGACTAAGATCATAGTTTGATACCTGTCACTGCTCCTTTTATGTCTATTCAAACTTTTCTGCTCTGGAAATGCTACTTTTCTAAATGCAGAACCTAATTGGTGTCTTTCAACCTTCTTTTCTACTCTCCCGTTTGCCCTATATGCTTCCACTAGTGATAAATCTCATTACTGGGGTTAATACACAGCTTGTGACAGTTGATTGAAAGAACAGAGCTTATGAAAAATACAACTGTCTACCACAGGAGACCTTTAGCTGTCAGAAATTAAATGTATGTTGCCTCTGTTCCAGTTTGAGCATGTCTGCTTCTCTGAAAAGACATCAGTCCTTCCTGTGGGCAGAGCACGATGCAGCAGTTCTTCTTCTCTTGCCGTGCGCTTCTCCACCATCTTTCATCTCAAGCCCGAACGGCTGCTGCTGTGTGTGCTGGACTTCTGTTGTCACACCCTAACTGCATCTTCCGTTGGTAGGGTGGGGTGTGACACGCTTCTGCCTATTGCTGTCCCTGTATTGCCCACGTAATGCAAAGAAGGACAGTGAACAAAAAGTGAAGCTGGGGTTTTCTTCAAGCAGTTCTGTGTTAAAGATAATTACTGGGTAAAGAGCAGCGGGGACTGTAATCTGAACGGGTTCTTCCTTCCCACTGCTTCTGTATGAATCCATCTGGGAAGGGTGTGTGAGTCTTAAAAATATCTTCATCTTGCAGAATCATTTAGGCTGAGCATTTTGATAGGTGGATGGGATACATAATGGTAGTACAGATCATCACAGACTCTTTTAATAAAAATAAAACCCATGTATAAAAGTTTATTTTCTACATGTGGGTAACTTCTGGCCGGAATGTAAGAAACACAAAAGATGTCTGTCTTTGAACAGTGTCTAAAAAAGCAAAGTAAAACCTATTCTGAGAGAATATTATACAACACAGGTTTTTTTATGAGATTGCTTATTCTCTACAATAGGAGTGATGCTTTTTCTTACAGTCGTTGACTCCCCTACTGCCTCCCAGGCTCTCATCAGGGCTGGTTCTGAGCAGGAGCAGTTCAGTTCTGGAGGATTCTCATTTTCCATGTTTAAATGAGAACCTAAAAACCAAAAAAATCCCATCGAAAAGGAAACAATAGCATACAATGGGAAAAGAAGGAACATGCAGTGAGGCTCTATCAATGTGTTCTGCTATTTTGGGGAACTTCAGGGCCGTGGCCTGAGCGTGTGGGTGCTGCGTACAGCTGGTTCATGCAGAGTAAACCTCTGGGGACAGCTGGCACGTTCCTACAGTGGAGTCTCAATGTGCTAGCAGGGAGGCAAGTACTGCATAGTTTTGCTTTGAAATGCTTATTTTTCCTAGAAAAAAGGGACCCCCTGCTTGCTTGGGTGGGGGTTGTCTTCCTGTGGAGTGCTTTTTCCACAGGAAAGGATTTCTCTGTCAGGTGTTAATTTTACAGGGAGAGGAGGAGAAAAGAATATCTAGCCAACTCGGCTAAAGTTCAGAATTTACCCCTGGTTTTGCTAAGTACGAAGCAGGACATTTTCTGCCAAAAAAAATGATGCAGACAAACTTACAGCCGTTTGATTATTGTCTTTTCTTCATTGTCCTTGCTGGTGCCAGGGCTCCTGCTGCTGGCTTCTTTTTCCAGTTCTTCAGTTTGGTTCCTTCTCTGTGAGATGATCCCACTGGGAAAAGAAAAGGCTTTATTTATTTTTTGTGGGTTTATGCATATCGTGGTATTGCATGTGTTAAACCCTTCCCTGGGCAGGCTAGGATGTGGGTGAAGGGCTGTTCACAGCACAGGAGTGGCAGCCTGGCCTTTTCCTTGTAATTAATTGTTCTTGTTTTCCTTAAATATTGCACTGTGGTTTTGCTTAGGGTATGCTTTCATGAGAACACTAAAAAAAAGTAATGAGCTGACTTCTCCAGAGAGGAAGAATGGCAAGTCACGATAGGAGTGAAAAGGAGGTGGAATTACATGTTGGATTTGTACAAAAGTCCAAAGATAACAGTAGGGTGAAGCCACAAATGGTGAATTTCTGCATGAGTGGATCTGTGGTACCTTCAGCGCAGCCACAAAGGCTCACACTGCGTGGCTGGGAACAGCTGGGAGATTCCCAGCATCCCTGCAAGGCAGGTGCCTGTTCCTCTTTCCATCCTGTAAAGGAGAAAAGAAAGGCTTTGCCTGAGCTGGGGATTTTGTCATCCTGCTTCGATGCTGCTACACTCCACAGGGTTGTAACCACCTGCTTTAGGCAAAAGCTTCAGTTTTACAAAAGTTTCCCCTGCTTGGAACCGGGTTAGATTTTTACCAGCTTGCTACATTATGTTTTTGCAGCGTGCCAGTTTAGTGTCCTGAGCTGACCTCATTTATCTTGAGAGCTGAGTGGATCGAAGCTTGTGACTGCAGTAGCTGAAGGTTGAAAGTAGTTAAGCAACACCTGTCTGGACCTTGAGAATAAAAATACGGGAGAGTATCTAGAAACTGGTGTGACATCAGGCACGGGATAATTCTGAGGCAGATTTTCTTCTTAGAGAAACAGGACTACGAGCTGCCTGGTGGTACTGCAGATCTCTAGTATCTGCATGATAACCTCTACTTGGAAATCATGGTAAAAATGCAGTTCCCAAAGAGCATCAGTCATTTGAAGCCAGTCCCTGTGAGGACGTTAGTTACCCTGTACTATGTAGAGCTTATTTCCAATATACACATGATATTTTAGAATACATATTTGTATTTCCCCTGCAGAACTACTCTTTATTGCCCTACAATTATAATTAGGGTTTTATGTGACTGTTTAAAGGCAAGATGGTTTTTGGCTTAAGCTGTAATGCTGTACAAAGAGATAATCCCGTAGAATTACTTGAACTGAAAAACAGCCTTGACACATTCTGTAGGTGCAAAGCACTGTGACTTAAAACACTCAAAAACTGAAAACATCCACACTGTTAATTTTTAACTTGGCCTATAATAAGCTGTGCCCCACAGCTGAGGAATCAAAGCAAGAAGCCATTCCAATGGCTGCACAGCGAAGGCAGGCAGCGGAGCTGGGGAAAGCCATGCTCCACGGTGCTATGAGAATTCTGTCGAGCAGTTTGTAAACTGACTTCTTGGATTTAACTTTAACTCCTTGGCTTAACTTGCCTATTACAGACAAGGCAAAGGGTGGGCTTACTACATCTAAGACGCTACTGCTGACATATCTCAACTGAGATCTAATGTGCCAGACATTTTGTGTCTAGACTAAGAACTAGTTTCTTGCCTCAGAGAGTTTATAATGCAACCTAGTGATAAGGAGCAAAAGTTGGGGAGGAGCAGCCTTGGAGGTGAATGAATTTGTAGCACCAAGAGCAAGACCCTTCCTGCAGCCCATCCCTTTGGCTCACACTGATTCTCCCAGGCTGGTCCTTTCGCCAAAGACCAAAATCCTTCTCTGAAAGCGCTTGTTTTGCACAGTTCAAATGCCTTACACAACTCTCTATTGGCAGGCTTAAAAAAAAAAAGGGGGCCCGTAGCTTATCTTGAATGATGTTGAAATGGCTTAATATTCTGCTTTCTAGATCAATGCCGTACCCACCGTGGGAGCAAATGAACAGTAGAAAAGCTAGTGTCCCCAACGGCAAGCTGGAGGAGGAAGGAAATTTTGACTAAAGCCGAGACGGAAATCCCCATGCTCTTTGGTACGTAACATGGCTTTAAACAAGACCAGTACGTGTGCAACTGCATCGATGAAATCACATGCACAGGAACCCAGCTTGTGTTGAGTGGCAGTAACTGTACGTAAGCTTACAGCAGTACAGTTCTGGGAACAGGCTGCAAACTGCGCAGACTATGAGGGAGTTTAGTTTAAAAAATATGTTGCATGGAGATTTTGTCATTCCCTTGTTTTTCTCTGCTCAGTTTTAGGCCCTTGGGAGCATAGATGTCTCTTACGTGTCTGGGCAGTGCCAACCCCAATCTAGGTGCTCAAACCTGCAATATTCTCATCTGATAAGTTCCCCAGACAAGAAGGAATTATTACTAGTCCTTTGCTGACTTCATGATATACCTCTTGTAGCACTGTAGCTCCTCTTGCACCACAAGAAGCTGAGCTTTCAGCTGGTTGCGCTCTTGCAATACATCTCGCAGCTCCTGTAATGTGAATCGGGGGCGATTTGGATCTGTGAGGTCTATTACCGTTTTATCTGGGCCAAGGCTGAGCTGTAAAATAAATGGTGGCAGTCATGAACTTGTGACCTGTTACAAACAAGGCACTTATAGAGCAAAAACTCTGAATTTTATAAATGTGCAGTAATTCTTAGAACTAGTACGAGTTCATCACAATCCTGATTTTTCCAAAGCAGTTAATTAGATTTTCATAATATAACTGTATTGCCTTGGTGTCTGCATTTCCTAGCTAAGTATAGGGCCCAACAGGGGCAGGTTCTGACCACAACTAAAAGAAAAGGCTCTGTCCTGAAGAGTTTGCAATCTACTTTGCCAAGAAGCTACTTTTATGTTTTCCTGATGATGAGAGAGGCTGAGCAATCTGTCTTAACGTCACACCAAAACTCTGTGTCAGAGAGAGGCGAGAACTGAGTTCTTGTTCCTGATTTAAGACCCTTGTGGTGACGGCCTTTCCGTTATGGGCGTTAGTTTTCCTCGCACAAAGTAGCAAAGCTTTAGCGTTTGATCAGTGGCAAGGTGTCTTTATGGGGCTGGGGCTCTAAGAGCTGTACAATGGTGGGTTTATACCCTGTGAGAAGCTGCTCTGAACTCCTCTGCTAGCATTGCACGTTGCTCAGCTAAAAGCGTGGTCGGTAACCACAGTGAAACAGGAGCAAGGATCCGCAGCACCACGACTTGTAACACCCCTGAAGATCTCCCCTCTGGAAGTGGCTTCAAAGCCTTGTGCCGAGATGAGAAGCCAACTTCTGGGGACTCGTTCTGCTGTGAGAAAAGAGAGGAGTGGCTGCAGCAACTGTGTCCTCCGACCTGTCTGGCGTTAGGGTGAGTTTCATGACCCACACGTGGCCAAGCAGTCAGGGCGCGATGCTCGCTGGCGAAGTGGCCTGGGGCCACCTCATGGCCACCGACCCCAGGGCCGAGCCGCCCCGGCACC